ACATGCAGCCAGGTAGGGAATAGCTTTGTGTAGAGGGGTCCGCTGGCAGGGAGGTGAGGCTGATGTTCCCCCCCCCCCCCCATGCTCACCTTTACGGTTTCTTCTCAACCCTGAGATAAATCTAGAATTTTGCCACCGTCCTCTGGAGTTAAAGATCTCTGCACACTTGTAGGAGTTTGATTAAAAAAAAAAAAAAAAAAAGGTTTCCCTACCCTAAAGAAAGAGTAATTTGCTTCCTCAGTCTATACAGCTTCTCAGTCAACTGAAACGACTCGTTCAAGACAGCAACAATCCAGATATACTAGCAAGTCATAAAACTGAACAAAAGCCGACAAACCTTAGAGCACCATCGCTATATGGCCCAGACAAATTACGACCGTCTAGGTAATATTTAAATAGATTCCTAAAGTAATTGCAGGGGTTTAGGCAACTATTCCTGTTGTAAAAGTTCTCGAAGACATAAAGTAGAACCTGAGGATAAACAGTCACAAAAAGAGGTAAAATTAAAAGGATTAATTCCACGTTTTTTTATTCTTCTATGAGAACATAAACATCGTCTTTTTCACGCACAGCAGCATTGCAATATTAATTTATTCCGATTTAAGGTAAGAACTAGATATAGCTAGAACTAACATTTATAATAACGATAGAATGCATTTGCTTAAAACAGTATCGGCATTTTAATAATAATAGACATTTATACACATCTGTATTTATATTTTCCCCTTCTTTAGTTTTTAATATTTTTATTTTTTTTTCGCCTATATGTTTGACTCTTTAATGCATGTAACTTCACAGTATAAAGGAAGACGAACATATTCTCCCTTGCAATCTCAGACTCTGGCTCAGAATGTCCTTCTGATGTTCGGGATATATACTTTTCAGTGAAATTAGTGAAGAAAAAGTGACTCCTTTATTCTCAAAGGGGGTTTTCTGTGTGCTTGTAATACGTTACCAATGGTAACGTTACTTATAGACAAAAAAATCACTAATTCCACATATTTAAGCAAAACTACATTAAGTAAATATCTACAACCAGAAAGAGCGAGAGAAATTCAGAGGTAAGTGTCATAATTTAGTCCATGAGCAACACAAACTCTTTTATACCTTTAAAGAGAAGAGATTCCATTTTCCTGGCCGATTTTAAAGCTGTAATATTGACTTTTAAGGTAAAGCAAAAAAAAAACCTCTCTTAACACCCGTTCCCATTAAGCCCTTTTAAAGGATGCCTGCATTTCATTATTGTAAGTCCTGCTTTTCGAAGGAAAAAGGGAGGAGGGGGAGAAAAGGAAAACAGAGGGGGAAAAGTTCCCAATAAAGAGAAATATGGCAAGGCTTAAATTCTTCATTCTGCAGCTACGTACAGTCCAAGTTACACGGCTAACAGTTTAAATTAATGCACCTTTAGCCGAGCTTGTTTACTCTTCATGTAAAGATACGAGGGGAAAGATATTTGCAGCTCCTGAAATGGTATTTCTGTGTTTCAAAGCTTAAAGGAAAAAATCGGCCCCGGGGAAGGTTGAAGGAAGCGGGGAGGTTCACGCACGGCATTTTGTGCATCAGTGTGGCTTTAGTCCGCCCCCCCCCAACCCACCCCAAAAAAGCTCTTAAGAGGTTAAGGACATATTCAGAACGTCTAAAAATCGTTAATCCTAGGAAAATGATACTGGCTCTTTAAACCATAAAGATGTGTTTATAGGTTCATCAAGAGAAATTAAAGTTGGCTGTGAGCTCCCGAATCCTATTCTCTCTGTTCATTTTCTTCAGTTTCATTCTGCGGTTCTGAAACCAGATTTTAACTTGTCTGTCTGTGAGGTGGACTGTGCGGCTGATCTCTAGGCGACGCTCACGAGTCAGGTACATATTGAACAGAAACTCCTTTTCCAGCTCGAGAGTTTGATGCTTGGTATAGGGGCACCGTTTCTTTCTGCCACTTTTTGCCGTGAGCCAGTTTGCTGTATTTTCTCCTTTTGAATTGCCTAGTTTTGAGAAAGTAAAGAAGGGACGTTACCAGCGGGTAGGAGGCAAAGAGCCGGGGGAGTAGGGGGCTAGGGTGGAAGGAGCATCTGTGTGTGTGGGGGGGGGGCTCACTCGGCCAGCTGTGGGGAGTTGAAATGTGGGGTGTCCTTTGTGGGAACCGAGAGTTTCAAAGCGGTTTCCCAAAGGCCCTGGAGCCGGCCGGGAAAATCTGCCTCTGCTTAAAAAGCTCCGGGAAGCCTCCGGTGGGGCAACGTGCCCGGCTGGGCAGTTCATCTCTGACCCCCCAAAACAGTCCTTTACCCGCTCCCTCTCGGCCGCTCCGAACCCACTGTTACTGGGGGGTGGCTTGGTGAATGGCCTGGAGTCTTATTTCCACCCCCAGGCACCTGCTTCCAAAAAAAACAAGGCCTGCGGATCTGTAGTTTTTAAGT